AAGTGAGATGACTTAGTCAGCCTCATCAAGGTAAACACAGCAATCTGGAAATCTCTGGACAAATGAGCAATGTGGGATGATCATTTCACAGTCATGTTGCTAGGAGACATCATTGCAGTCAATCATAAAACCATCAACTGCTGCTACTCAGGAATTTTTTTAATAAACACTTCTATACTGAAGAGTAATTCAGTGAAGCTAAAATTGCTTATGGGATCATGCCAATTTTGACAAAAACAAGCAACAAAATCTACACTGGTGAAAATTTCTCAGGTTCCAGACGAATTTTGTGATCCACAGAGTGTAATATCAAGATTGGTGTCACCAGCATACAAAAAAAAATCAAGAGAACAGCTCAAACACACGCCCTATGATATCCCATAACAGAAATATCGTGGTGTGCTTTCCAACAACCCATAAGAAGTTAGTAAGTAAATTAAGTCTATGTTAAGTAGTTTAAATTCACTCTACCCAGGGATCTGCATATAGCATAGAGAATTTCAAAGGATTTTGAAGCTTGAGAAAGATAAAGACTGCAAGCTTAGGCTAATATTCAGAGCAGTCTAATGCCCTTCTATGGAGGCAACACAAGTTCAAATCCTTGCTCGGGGGCTGTGGTGAAGGTCAGGGTGAGAGCCAGCCTTCCTCAGGGGCTGGGGCTTTGCTGACAGCTTGGCACTGGGATCAGGATTTTTTGTACAATTTTCAGGAAGTCAGAGCTGGGTTAAGCAGTAAATGCTGAAATCTGAAAGGAATGTGCAGAGCAGAACCCCCCTTTTTAAAACATTCCTGCCAATGGAGGAGATGGCAGTGTTTTCATGGAGCCAAGCTGCCCATGTGTAAAGGCTGGAAGGTAATGAGGGTGGAAGCACAATTAGGCAAAAAAGGGGAAACTAAGCTACAAGTAACACTTCATAAGACTGAAAAAAATTATTCAAGAGAAAATAACATTAGAAATAATTTTCAAAGCTACATTTCTTTTTGAGAATCTGCACAATAAAAACATCAACTGTTACTTTCCTAAAGGAGCAGATAAAAGATTTAGGTGGAACAGAAAAACGAGGTATTATTCACACTTTTGTTAAACAAAATGCAAAAACCAGCAAGCTAAGAGGAAAAAAATCCAACTCAACCAGAAACAGAAAAATGAAAAAAAAAAAAAAAAGAGAAACCTATAGCTTTTCATGATTACATGTATATTTTACCTTCACCCACCTTTAAGGAAAAACCTATGGTTAGAATACAACCACAAACAGAAAAGCAGACACAACAAAAGCATAAGGAAAGGAATAAAAATAGAAATTCTAATACTAAATGGCAATAAATTACTTGTGCAAAGAGACTTTAGGGGTACTAGCTGGGGAAAATGTTTGAGCTGGTCCCATTGCCCTTGCTTTCTTTGACAGGACCATTTTACACAGAAAGTTCTGGCAGGAAATGCTGCCTGCAGTGGTTTTAATCTTGGAAACAACCCACATGAGGTGGCTGCATTCAGACTGGTAGGAAAAAGGCCACAGGTGATAACAGACTGTGCCCCACTGTGTGTCACAGCAGGGTGACTCCTGCCTCTGGTCCCACACGCTGTTCACCCCCTCAGCTCCTTGTCCAGCACTGATATGCTGCCTGGTCTGGGTGTGAGCAGACCCAGGGGGAAAGCAGGCTCTGGGTCCCAGAGCCACCTATGTACAGCTGTGTGTCACCAAACAAACAACTCAGAGTCCCTGTGCACAGCCAAGGGCGGTGCTGGGCCACTGCCAGCGGCAAGAGCTGAGTGAGAAGAAGAAAAATCAAACTGGGAGCCTCTGACCCGTGGAACTGATCCAGGGTCTGCTGTGTGGGAAAACATCCCACACCACAGGAAAGGCCAGGGAGACAATCTGGTACAGATTATTCCTTATGCAGAGATTTCATTGCTGGCAGTATCAAAATGAATTTTTTAAATACTTGTTTCCTTCTTGCTTTAAGGTCCTCAGCTAACTCTGGAGCCACACAGTTATGTACAATGCTTCCAAGTGGAGAAGGAAACAGCAGAGCACACTGAAAATTATAATTTTGATACCTAGGCTTTGTTTCTAAAGGGGAAAACAGCACAGCAGTCAGTGTGTCTTTACTGCAGGATACACAGAGAGAGGATAGGCAAAGAGGACACAGATCTGATATTACAGCAAACATTTGCACAGATCTAAATGGTAAGCAAGTCCTGTATAATATCCTGTATATGTACTGGAGATATCTGTATTATCTATAGACAGATAGATATGGTCAAGATAGCATAAGCAAGACCTTTCCTGCACTGACTTGTTACTTAGCACTCAATAACTCACTGCCAAATGAAAAATACAATTACTGAGATACCCCTGCAGAAGCAAAGTGTACTTCAACTTTCTAGCAAAATTCAAAGTTCAATTACCCTGCAGCAAATCAATCAAATGTGTGTGCAGCACGCAATGAAAAAGTACAGATGTCACCTCAGTGCTTTCAGCTGAACATGGTTTTCCTTCTTTTTAAAAATCAGCAAGTGGCACTAGGAGACATTTACAAAGCTCACATTATGCAGAAAATAAAAAGAAATCTATCAGTGTGATTTAGAGCAGCAGAGCACAGTGCTCTGGGCATGAGAAACAATAAATAACGACCATTCAGCACTGGTAACCTGCACAATGATGTGATTTTTATAGACACTGAGATTCATGACTCCAGTTCAGCACTGTACCCCGTGTTCCCACAGCTGGAAGCCAGGCCTGCAGGGGCCTGAGCATGGGCACACAGTGCTGATGGATGTGTGGCAGCACACAGATGTGTGTGTGCACAGCAAGCCCCACCTAACCCAGGCAGGTCATAGCTGGAAGGTGCTGGCCTGGGATGCACAAATGAAAGTTTCCCAAGGGGAGCATAGGGCCACACTGTGCACTGACAGCCTGGGGAGTCACTGCCCTTTGCTTCAAGAACCTTTCTTTGCCCTTTCCTTAAGAGCTGCACAAAACTGCACTTGAGTTCACAGCTCTGAGACACAAACCTCTTCTCCAGCCTCTCCCACAGACCCTGCCCTGCTGGACAATCCCAGGGACACTTTATCCTGATTACCAGAGTGGGAAGGGATGACACCACTTTGTGTTGCCTGGAATGGAGACCTTCAGCTTCCAGCAGGGATCATTACACAAGGTCGGGTTTGGTTTTGTTCTCTCTTAATTCATCATTCTTAGAGCTCACATGAAATTTTGTAACCACTTTCCAGTGGCTGAAGAGAATTTTGAAATTATGTCCTCCAACTTCAACATTTTTTGCTAGCTTCCCTTTCCTCAGCCTGTGACTTATTTAGCTATGGCTACAACAAATCACAGAATGTTCTGAGTTGGAAGGGATCAAGAAGGATCATCAAGTCCAGTTCTTAAGTGAACAGCCAGTACAGGGATTGAACCACAACCTTGGTGTTATTAACACCAGACTCTAAGCAAATGAGCTCATCTCAGTGTTAAATGCTTTTTTTTTTAAATAGGAAATAATACAAATTCACAGCTCTGATAAAAATGGAGCCTGAATTTTAAAACAATAGAATTGCCTACCCACAAACAAAATTATGACTGTATTTTATATCATCAAAACAATTGATTCATGAAACTGATTAAGTCCATAGAACAATGGAAATTAAAAGACCACTTAAAATACACAAAGTTAATACTCACTGTGGTTGTGTAAAATTGATATTTTGAAACATTAGAGGCATCTTAAAAAGTTTTATTTAGCATATTGAAAAACAAATGTTACAAAAAATTTTCTATAAACATAGGCAAAAATGTTTAAATAGGATAATTTAATGTAAACCAAACCCCTTTAAAATATACAATACTGTAATCAGAGGTTATTTACATCCAGTGAAGAGAGAACAACCTTCACTAATGTTAATATCATCTAAGCAAATAATTAATTTCCATCATTTCTTAAAACAGTGCCACCTCTATGTTAGTTTTAGTAGCTAAATCATTTCAGTCCCAATACAAGATGAAATTCAATGTTACATTCAGAAGTGGGAAAGGCAGTATCCTGACTATTCATGTCATCAGTCAAGACAGCACTGCATTCAGAGCTGCAAAACCTTAGAGAGGTACAACTATAAATTTATATTTATTGCATGACAATGCAATTACAGGATAGGTAAAACAAAAAGAAAAAAAAACTGTAAAAAACCCCAGTACAAATAAAATTTTATTTTTCAATCAGGTTAGAAAAGCCAACCACAAAACTAAGCTATTTTCCCACATTTCACAAAACAGAACAAACAGTTTGTAAGTTGACACTATTCCAACATGGAGAAAACTGTTCATGTTTTAGAGGAAATGCATTTGCACAACTGTCCCAAACAAGTTTTGTTTAAAAATTCAATTTATTCACCAAGACATAAATTTATAGCCCACAATGGCTTTCATACTCATGTACTCATGGAAAAGGCATTGTCTAATTCATTCAACTCATAGATCACTAAGTTTTTGGTTGTGACTTTTTTTGGAATGGCAAGCATCAATTTTGGATTGCACATGAAAGTACCTACAGGACACAGTAACAGGATAAAGTAACACACTCAACTTAGGAGCCACAAACAAACCCTTCAAAAGTGGCAGTGGAGTACAGAGTAAAGAAAACACAGAAAGAAGGGAAAAGCCAGAAAAATTACTAAAAACTAAAGCAGACTGCCCATGTCCAGGGATGATGACAGCTGCTAAACAAGCTAATGTAACATGGGTGATCTCCATGCATTTCCTACAGGAAAGTCCTATATCCTGACAAGGAAGTTACTGCTAAAACTCCTATCTGTGCTGGCAGGCACAGGAGGTGCCAATATGGCACAGACAATGAAGTACCAGCTCTTCCTGAGGTGGTTCCTGCATGCTGGGATGAGGCACTTTGTTCTGCAGAATCTGCATAAAGCAGTTTATTTACTAACTCTTGCTCGGTTTGAAAGGAGCTTTAGCTTCCACAAGTGGCAATTCAGGAGGAGTACAGAGTAAAGAAAACACAGAAAGAAGGGAAAAGCCAGCTCATCTCTAAATTACTAAAGCAGACTGCCCATGTCCAGGGATGATGACAGCTGCTAAACAAGCTAATGTAACATGGGTGATCTCCATGCATTTCCTACAGGAAAGTCCTATATCCTGACAAGGAAGTTACTGCTAAAACTCCTATCTGTGCTGGCAGGCACAGGAGGTGCCAATATGGCACAGACAATGAAGTACCAGCTCTTCCTGAGGTGGTTCCTGCATGCTGGGATGAGGCACTTTGTTCTGCAGAATCTGCATAAAGCAGTTTATTTACTAACTCTTGCTCGGTTTGAAAGGAGCTTTAGCTTCCACAAGTGGCAATTCAGGATTCACAAGGGCTAAAACCACTTCAAAAGAAAAAGTCTGACAGTCCACAAACAAAACCCAGGAAATTTTTACTACAAGTGTCCAAAATATACTGTACTTATCTACTTATCTTAATACACCTATTATATGTAATGAATATAAATACAAATTATAGTTTTGACAATGGAGGCAGGAGTTTGGCCAGGAGTTCATCTCTAATACAACTTGCCTTAGCAGCTGAAGATCCCCAGCAGGCAACAAAGGCAACTTACTCTTTGTCAAAAATGAGAACTCCTGACTGCACTTGTCAATAGGTTAGATCATATTCTTATCAAAGTGAACATTTACACACCATCTATAACCATCCACTTCCTTCCACAAAAATCCTTTGGGAACAGTTGGGCCAAGCCCCCATGAGAGGGACATTAAGAGGAATTTCAAACAGATAGCACTGGCATTTTATCTGGGGTGTTTGAAACAAGACAGTTTGGGTTTCTGTTGCAAGAAAGCCAACATAACATAATTTAGTCCTTCAGGGCTCAACATCTTTCAATTGGTGTTAATTGATTAGTAGAACACAGAAGAGTACTAAACTAATGCCACGATACTTGGTGTGGGAAGAAAGAAAACTGAAACCTAATACTCAGAAATTAAACAGAGCAATTAACTTTTAAATCAACCTGTAAAAGAATCACCACACTAGAATTTTTATCACCTAAACCAAGTGGATGAAATTCTGTACAAGCCTGTATGTAACTTGCATCCTTCTCTTCAGCCTCAAAAAGTCACTCCACACTAATGCTTGGGGTTATGCCTGCATGTTCTTAGAATTCCTTGTTGGAATGGATAGGCAATAAATTTATTTTTTGTTGAAAAAAGATATTTATATTCTCTGCAAAGAATTTCCACAGGCACCAGTACAAGGTGCATACAAGGTACATGTGAGTAGGTAAGGGAGTATCAGAACTTTAGGAAAGGGTTTATGTTTATAGCTGGCAAAACCTTATGGAAGGTTTTCATATTTGGGACAAAAGGAAGTCACAGACACTGATTTTCTTTCCTTTTTCTCCCTTTAAAAAGGAAAGTAATGCCTTTGGGTGTATGTGCTTATAGATTACATTCTGGTCCCAGTGAAAATCACAGTAGGAAGTCCATAATCAGGATTTTATCCACTCTTGAGTACTTCACTATTACTGTTGCATGAACTTTCAAGTTCTGAAGTTAACATATGCACACTTCCCACCTCTAAAATACAAAAGTAAAACCAGTAAAACCAGATAGGGAAACAGGAAAACAGAACACAGACAAAAACTTTCACCATTAAATTCACCAATTAGTGTCTTGATTTGTCAGCTTCTACACATTTACAGAATTTTGAGCTGTAATATCAAAGCTTTAGAACACACTTCTCCTGCTAGGACTCTGGAATTATTGCTGTTACACCAGCATTCTCTACACGAGATCCTGGTTTGAACACAAAGGCTCCCAAGCCTCCCGAGTGCCAGGAGAGGGTGCAGCATGTAACAAAAATCGAGGTGAGAAAAAGGAACAAACCAGACAAGAGGCAATACTGCAAAATCAGTCCCCTCTAGTGTAAATAACTACTAAAATGTTACTTAAGGATTCCCTATTGCAGGGAATTCTGACAGTCTGCAGTAAGAAAGGGGAGGGGTATCCCACAAATCTTGTGGGGAATGTGGACAGTGTTTGGAATAAAACAAGTGACATCCTTCAAAACAGAGGTACTTTTGAGAAGTATGACAGAGCACCACATCTGTATCTGCACTACACTCTCAATACAGATTCCTTATCTTTTAAGACATTTGATAGGGAAAAAAAAATCCCAAACCCAAAGAACGAGTGAACCTAGAAAAGGTGAAATTCATCGTATACAAGTCCGTTAAATTACAGAAATGCATAATAAGCCAAGATAAAGTGCTACAAAATGATTAATGATTTTTAAAAGGTCCATGGCATTCTTCTTGTTTTACTTAGTACTGGTGACAATGGGGGTTAGTGCTATGGCAGTGGCTGAACTGGAATTCACAATGTCTTCGTACTGCGGGGGTGGATCTAAATGCTGCTCAGTTTCGCTTCTTCTCACACTGATTTCCCCAGTGGCTTCCTCATAGGAAGGAGGAGGATCACAGTTTGAGAGCCTTGTGGATATTGAGTCTGACCGTGCATCCGAATAGCTCAGACCTCCTGGAGAGAGCCCACTGACCTCATACATTTCCTCCTGCGGGGAATGAACAATGCTGAGAGGCGGCGGGAGGGGCCCTCTGCCAGCAGCACCATCGCCCAGCGCGCCGTGGGCTCCCCTGTGCACGTACACCGACTGCCTGCGCATCTTCTTTTTAAACAGGCATCTCCAGATGACAAAAGCGACAATGAGGATAACAAAAAGGCCAATGATTAATGGAAATGTAAGGTAAAATGAATACCAGTTATGTCCTGTGTTACTTTCTCCCTGCAGTCCGTTTTTGTAGACTTTCCAGAACTCCTTCTAGAAGAGCAAGACACAACATGTCAGAAACTATAACACAGTTAATAAAAAACAAGCAATGTAAGCAAGTTGTTTTAAAGAATGAGGAGGAAAAAAAAGGCATTTCAAATATTGATGGTTAAATAAGAACTGGCATGGATAAGCACACACAAACTTTCAATTCTTCTTCTCATGTGATTAGTGATACAAAAGGGATTTGGTTTTGTAAACAAACTCCTCACCACTTTTAACATTCTTATATCTGCACTCAATGTTTATAAACATGCAGCAGAGACAGGACTAAGCGATAATACAATCAGAAAAGAAAAAACCCAATCCCAAAACAAACCAGGAAAAATATATCTCAAAAGCCCCTGCCTAATCAGCATGCACATCAGCCATCCGGTGGATCAGAATCTGTCAGCACCACTCAAGGCACAAGTTTAGGGTTTGTTTGTTTTAGAATTGAAATAATGCACTAGTACAATCTGACACAGAAACACTAGCTCACAGTGACAGACCATTTTGGCTAAGCACAACTATGCTGCACTGTCTTATCATAATTTAGAATGCCCCACCCTCTGGCTCATACAGCAATCACTGTCAGCTTAGTTTGAGTTGATCCAGATCCTCTGTTTACAGTTAAAAATAGCCCCATAACTGTGAGACTATTACACAGGTTATTATATTCTAGAAACCTTGACCACAAAGCTACAGATAAATGGAACATAAAGTGAAAATATGAATAAGCAAAAACAAAGATGAAGGAGGACACCAATATTTGAAAGTCCTTTTTGCTATATTAATATGAGCAAATGGGAGCACAAATATCATGTTGCCATGAAATTTCTTCTGCAGTGAATGCTGTGAAGAAACAGCAAAAAAGAAAAGCATACCCTGCCTCAAAAGGCCATCCTCACCTGTAATGTCTCTCCTACATGACACACTTCCATTGAGTTTTATAGTCATAACTGAGAACATTTTAGTATATTGTAGTATAATTAAAAACCCAAACCCCAAAACCCTGTAATTAATGACATCCCCCCAGTCCATGCCACAATCTCTGAACTCTAGCTTTCTTTAAAATTGCACAGACTTGACCCCCTCATCCTCCTGCCAGCATCACATTAATTTTAAATGACAGCACACATTTCATGCAACTATTTATAAAATAGTCACCAGGTAGAACTGAAATTGTAATTGCTCAGTTGCTAGTAAATGATGTATTTAGGCTGCAGACTGACTTTGTGCACAGACAAATCAGATTCATTGTTTTAGCTCAGGTCTAATGCCACATGATGAACATTAAACAGAAAATGCCACCAAACTGACCCCAGAGGCAGCTTGAGTCCAGAAGCAGCACAATCCCTCTAGCATGGAGGTCAAGCTTTCCCTGGGCAAAGGCAGGACCAGGACACCAAGGGGGAAAAAACACACTATCAACACTTCTGGATCAGGATTTACTCAGGTTAAGAGAAATGCCATGTACATGAAACAACTGACTCTCCTGTAAATTTCTTTCCAAAGATAAATTCAGTTGTTTTTACGTCTATGTGCAAACTCAAAAACCAAAACAGTTTCAACTCCTACACCAATTCAGGATCAGGCATTTTTCCTATATTTTAAGGCTTGACACCACAAGCAGATTGTCACAATGCCCCTCTTTGATGTAAACCCAGGTCCAAACCATTTAAGCTGTGTCAGGTGGCATTGGCTTCAAACAAAGCAAGAAAGACTGGAAAGATGGACTCTAAATTCTTCTCTACAAGGGCCCTCCTTGACCTGTGTTCCACACTGAACCCCAAACCAACAATTGTGAGTTTAGGAAAATATATTTTGGGGGGAACACTGAAAAATGCCATCAGCTGCACAACTGAAGGCTTTTGGGATCTCTGCATGACAAAACCTGGCAGAACCAAACACCTCACCCTCACCCCAACAGACCACCAGGCAATTAAGAATACCTATTACTTTTGCATCTGGTAAGAATACAGCTAACTAGATTACTTAGTGGAATAAATAATATATTGTTAACTAAAAAAAAGCAGAAAAGGATTAATTAGGATTATGAAATCTTGCTGTATGTACTGGGAACAATCCTCCCACATCACTGTTCTTTGGCCTCAATGGCAGCAAAGAAATATAATTGTAAAATTTAGTTTTGAAGACCCAAGATTTACTGGAAGTCATTACATATACAGTGCAAGGATATGTCATTTTAAGGACTCTCTGGACGAGAAAGGTAGTTTTGATGAAAAAGAAGAAATCATACTTCTCTCCTAACAATCTATTATGTGTTGCATGCAGAGAAAATGCACTTTCTGCAATAGAAGGGTAGTAAGTAGTGACCGATCTTTGAATATTGTTTTCACATTACTTCTAGGTCAGATCTATCTGCTGTAGAAAATGTCTCTGTATCTTCAGAAAGCTGAAACAGCATCACTCCTTGGCACTCTGCTACTCAGCAAAGCAGCACAAAATCTGTTCTGCTGTCCCAGAGTGGCAGGCACTTAGAGCAGAACAGGGTGTGCTGCTTTGGGGATGTTTGACTTGGTGATGTGACCAGACAAATGCATAAAGAGCTAGAAGGGTGTAAACTGCCTTAAGGATGAAAGTAGTTTAATGTCCTTTTTCATTTACATGCAAGGCAAAGAAAACTCAAGACAGTTTAGACACTCCCCACTCCCTGGTCAGAAATTATTTCAGGTCTAACACTATCTTACACAGACACAGGAATACAGTTCTGCACACAGATGAAAAACACTAAGAAAGAAACACTAGCTTAGTCATTAAAAAAAAATTAAATCTTTAAATGTTCTTCATGGGAAAATTAAAAAAAAAAACAACTCCACAAAAGCCCACAGAAAATAACCTTGTTAGCATACTAGATCCTGGGTCCCAGCTTGCATTTTTGCAAGTCAGCTCTCCAAGAGAAGCACAAAGACTTTTAGCTCCAGACTGCCACAACTGACAGGAAGTGCAGGAAATGCATCCTTCAGGTCTGAATTGCACAGCTGCCAAGCTCTGCCTCTGCTCTGCCCCACCACAGCTACACTGCAGAGTAAAGAGATGGTGCAGGGGGAGGACAAGACATCAGGTTAGAGTCAAATGCTGCCTAACAAAGCCACAGACAACTTAGATGAGTTTACACAGTGTGAGGATATGTACAAACTGCTGTTTGTAAAATAACTACTGTTTGAAAAAAAACAAGAGGGGGAAGACTGAAAATTACAAAGTATCTGTAAAATTCATACAGAAAGTTAAAGAGTAATTTATAAGCTGGAAAACTCCCAGCACAAACATCCCTCCCACAACTGCTGGTCTCTTTAAATAACAACAGAAAGGACTTTCTGCTTGACAAAATTACTAACTTGTGATTAATGAAAAGGGCACTTCAGTAATCCTTTACCCCTGAGTGCTGTACAATTGGGAATACCAGGTGTAAAAGCCTTATAAGGCTGAAAAACTTCAGCAGGCCACAGAATCAGATAACTGCCATGGAAAATACTTAGAAAACATCTAACATATATTCCTGCCAAGAACTATTTTTCTGAATGTACCTTAGTGCTTTGGCAAATCCAGTAAGAAATAATGAAAAGGAATTCTCAAAGGCATCCCAAAGACAGTTACAGCGAATCCCAGAATTCTGTTTTCCTTTCATTTGCAATACTTCTCAGAACTGAGTCCGTATCAGTTAGCTGGATCTGAATGCTGGATCAAATAAGGGATCCACAAGGAATTCAAGACTCACACTCTCCTGAGAATTTCAGGGAAGGAGAAAGGCCTTCAGGGAAGGCCTTTACTACATTTGGCATCATTGTCATCCTCAAATGATTCTTTGTCAATTGCCTGACTTGTTGTAAAGGTGGACTCATAATAAGCCAGTCAGAAGACTGCTTGGTATTCACCAGGCAGAGGGTGAGAACAGAGCAATAAGGGGAAGTGAGTGCACCTGCTACACTCATCCCTTCTGGTCTGCCCCCAATTTCAAGTAGCAGCAAAAGATTCACATCTTCTGAGAATTTATCCAGCACCCATAATTACACACAGAGTGACGCTGGAAGTCTTACTTGATCATATAATTTTAGATCTGGTGTTGACAAGTTTAGAGTTGCTTACTAAGATTTTTAGCAGTAGTTTGTTTGTTTTGCTTGAATAAAGCAACAAAGAGAACTTGGCAATTTTTACAATATTTAAAATTCACTGGAAATTTGTCACAGGAACGAAAACCTGCGACTTCCAGCTTTTAAAATCTTCATGCAGTTTAATTAAAAAATGAGTTAATGGAAATAAAATTAATATCAGTGCTACAATCACACTCAGATACTTAGCACAGTAACCTTTGAACTAATCTTTGAGCCTCCCAATAACCTCTTGACACCTGACCAGTGCCCACATGCAGCACTGCCTGCAGGCTACAAGCAGCACCAATAAACAGCTTTACAAGGTCACACCTAGGGCTCACTTTATCTGTTAGTTCTCTGACAGTAATCATTAGAGACTGCTGAAAATGTTCAAACACAAGCAGGCTACTGTGCTGCTTCTGGGAGATACTCTCCCAGATTTCACATATTTGTACCTTAAGAACATCCATTAGCCAAAGTTGCTTCCTTTTAATTAACGGTTCCAGACTGATTTAACTTCCCTTCATTTACATCACTTTTCTCTGAACCTACTTTTAGGATCTGAGACATCCTGTGGCAGGCAGTCCACAGCTCCATTAGCTGTGGTGAGGAGAGACACTTATTTGCTTTGAACTGGCACCTTTCCAGTTTCCTTTGAGGCCCTCTTAGCTCTGCTATCAGAAGGATGGCAAGTGACTGACCTCAGCTCAGCCTTCATCTTACAGACATCATCACATATTCCCTGATTCAATTATTTTATGATCTATTGTTGTTATACAAGTCTTTCCATATCTTTGATCAATTGTCACACTTCTCTGGTCCTTCCTCACCTACTAATTTACTTTTAAAGAGATAGGGAGATGAGAGTTGTACATACTCAAGATGTGGGTAAGCTCTTTATTTTGATCCCTTGTTCCTTTATTTTAGATTCTTAGAACTCAGGATTCTTTGTTTTGGCTTTATTTAAGTGGTCAGCATTAAAGTGAAGTCTTCATAGACTGAAATCCAGATCTCGTTCCTGAATTCTGTTTAAAGCAAATCATATATTATAATGAATGTCCCCAGGTCCTCCACATGCATTACATATGTCAACAAGTAATTTAATATTCTATTTCACCTAAAAAGTCCTGCAAATTCTTCCCTGTTGGCTCTAGCCAAACATAATCTTTATAACTGACTTAATAGTTTCAAATAGTAATTCAGAATCTGTCAATATCCCCAAGCCTGTCTTGAAAATACTGAATAGCATGTATGCACACTTGACATACACAATGGTAATTAAAAACTCATGTACCAAAAATAACTTGAGGGAATTGCTCGATATTCTTTCAATATTACAAATCTGCATGTTGCAGACCTGCCCAGAAGACTGCAGAAAAACAAAGAAGCAAGCAGAGATTAAAAAACCAGAGATTAGTCAAAAAGTTATCATGAGATAAATAAGTTACACCCCTATTTGAATTCCAGTCTATCTATACTATGAAAGCTTTGATCCTGTGTTTCTCTGCATACACTATATCATGTTCCCAGTCTACTGCATCCATTCCCTTCCCCTGGGACATAGATGTTAAGTTTTACTAAGTGGCTGTGTGGATGGATACTGCTGGGGGACAATGCACTAAATAAAGCCCAAGTACATGAGGCTGCTCAGGCACCACTGCACATTAGCACAGCCTGACCCATTAGCAACTCCCCACAGCAAAACAGAGCAGCCAGGGAAAAAGGATACAGTAGTGGAAATTGATAAAAGGTCAGGACCTTATTGAAAGCTCCTTCAACACTTGTGGCAGAAAAAGAAATGTAATTATTTCTATTTAACTACTTCCCAAATACCTCTGCAAGGGAAATGCTAATTACCATAGCATAAAATGTTCCTAAATGGGAGAGAGAAGCTGAGAGACAAGATGTTTAGGTTATGTTTTCTCTAGGGACTGGAAGAAAAAGCAGAAGTGATATTTTGTCAGAATTTTATATAAGTTTTCTCATTGTACACATTAATTACACATGGAGCTATTATTAGGAACGGTCATGCCAAGTCAAGTTTGGGAGGTAAAAACATGTCTGTGCAGGCACTTCATAGCTTCAGAAAGAAGCAGCTTTGAAGGGAAACCACATGTCCTATAACTTCATTTTAATAAACCACAAAATTCTCATGCCAGCCTTACCCATTTCCCCAGCTATGTGTGAGATAACACACCAGCACCAACCAAAAGATGCCAAGAACTTAAAATGTCCAGTATGCCTTAATACACTGTTATTTTTTGATGTAGAGCTCAGCCCTTGAAGAGTGGAATGTGTCACCTGTGTAAATTTAAGAAGAAATCTGCAAGGCTTCCTGTACCACTCTGGCCACTAAATCACTGGCCTTGCCAGTACAATTTCCCTATGCAAAAATCAAATCTAATGCAACGCTGGAAAACACACAAGCACTCAGCACACCCAGAAGTTTAGTGGAAGTACACCCCCCCCAACTTTACATACACAGCAAAACATACCGTTTTTTCCTCATTTTCAAATGCTTCTCTCGCCTCTTCATAGCTACAGATTTCTTCTCTGCATTCATGTTCTATGTCACCTTGCTTTATTTCTTCCAGAAATGTGTTGGCTCTTGGGTATCTTTTCAACACAGAGTTGGCTTTGTCCTCTGTTAAGAACACTGAATAAGAAGAGGAGAGTCAATAAAGGTCACTTCTAAAATAGACACCCAAAACCTCATGCTAGAATTGCTCCAAGAAAACATGCCTTTGAGAAAAAGTTTTTCAAAGCCTTCCCCGTTATTTGATATGATAAAAGGCCTTTCCTGGTTTCGCTCACTGCGGTAAGTAGTTGGGCCTACAATTTCAGTAGTTATTGCTAAAATGGCCTAAATGCACAGACCTCAATTCAGCATCATAGTCATGGGTGGTGACCCAAGACTGAAGCTGGTGCCCAGGAAGAGACCTTGGAAGAGACAGGGACATGCTCAGCTCAAGCTGACACAGAACAAACAAATCCTGCTTGTCAACATCCAAAATGATATTTGCAATTGCCTGAGGGCATCACAGCCAGAATGCTCTGAAGTTTTTGATATAAATATCTATGACTATTACCCAGAGTCACAAACACCAGACAGCTGCATTTATCAATGTTTAAGTCTCTAAATTTTCTTAAGCAACTCTGAAGTACATTTGCTCCCTTCACTCCAGAACTCTCAACCATTAAATGGGAGCTCTTTTGAGGATGTGGGAGGAAGTAGCCTCTTTCTATCTTTTTGAACCATACAGAAAACCTCACCTTATTTGATTAATCAAATGAAACAATCCTAAAAGGCAACCAATGTTCTGACACAGGTATTCTTTATTTGCTGCCTTTAGTTTGCTGTCCAAGGAGAAAAGCTGGAAGCAATCTCTTTTCTTCTGATGTTCCAGCTTTCCATCAAACTCTCTGACCCAATGATTTTTACATATGCAGTAACTGGGAACACTTTGGAATCTGTCAGCCTGAATTACCCAGGAGGTACATCTGCAGTGCATGATGCAGGAATTCTCCAGGTATTTCAGGTCAGGAAGCAGGAACATCAGGTCAGTGCTACACTGTTCTTGGGCTCTGAGTGCCAGCAAGAGGGGATAATGATTCAATGCACTGCCACACTAATGCATTTGTAGAACTTTCTTGGCTTACACAATCATTTGTGCTTTGCTTCATTTGCAGTTAGTCTGAAGGGGTGTTTTTTTCCCTTAATCATCTGATTTTTAATGTATAAAAGGAGGCCAGCTAGAAAACTGTGTTTGTGCTTTAGAAACATGTGGTGGTATTTGCCAGCACTGACTAGCATAATTAGGCATAACTAATCTCAACTTGTTTAATGTTTGTGGTATACTACTGTAATGATTTCCATGGCCAGGCTACAGGGGTGGCTTCTGGGAGAAGCTGCTGGAAAATTACCCTGTGCCAGTGGAGAAGAAAGGGGAGGAGGTGCCCAGGTGCCAGAGCTGAGATTCCCCTGGAGCCCATGGTGCAGAACATGGTGGAGTGGAGCAACACAGCAGCTTGGGGGCACCTGGCATCCAGCCAGGGTCAGTCAGTCACAACTTGGTTCTGAGTCATTAGACACTGATCTTCCTCTCGCAAAGGATTACATGAAGATGTGAAGACTGAATTCCAAAACAGCACTGACACCTATGCTTCCAGCTGAATACATTACTACATGCATGCATCACACAAATGACCCGGCTCAAGAGGATGCTAGGGCTTCAGTGCATCCAGCTCTGCAACTGTACCTACTGCAAATTTGGTTTTCTTCAGCACCACAGATGAGCACATGGACATCTCCTATTGTCTAAGTTCATCAGCTATGTAACATGGAAACTAATATTCAGAAATCCCTTCAAAAAGGAAAGAACAAGAGATGGCTTTTTTCCACTTTGCACACAATTCCCCTCACTTCACCCTAGGCCTGAATAATTTGGTTTCTTTCAGCCTCATGCCTCAGTGATCACCTCAAGGTGATGAGCTGAACGATTCATGCATATCAGGAATGCAGCACACAGCCATGCCTGGGGATGAACTGCAAGTGCTTTTCCTACTTCTCCCAACTCCTCGTGGTATTCCTGAAGGGAACAAGTGTCAGGCCAGACTCTCCTAAGAGTGGCCATATGTAGAAGCACTGAAGAGTAGATAATGCACTATAAATTAAGTTTCCCTTCCTCCAGCAGATAAAACTTAGGGAATTTCATTTCATGGCTGGAATCCTTCCCCAAAAAGAGCAATGAGAGAAATGATGACAGCTTTGTATCAGATGCAAAAGGAAAATAAACACAGGAAGATGCAGATAGCTGAAAATACCCTGATTTACAGATTCTGGCTCTCAGAAGTGAGATACAAATACTTGTTTCTGCATGCACTTTCCAATTTCCAAAGAGAATAAAGGTTTAAAAACTGGTATGTTAAGAAATATTGCATTTGATACATACTGGTATAAGTTTTTAGGTAATACTTTAGTTTTCCAAAAGGAAATAATCATACATTTCTGAAATACATTGATGAAGAACAGCAAAATGTTAATTCAGTTCAAAGTGGACAATATATGACTATCTAAACCCCCAAAGTTTTTATTTAACAATTCATATTCAGAAGGTCTGTCTTCCCTCACAATACAGTATACAAAATGCACATACTACTGAGACAAAAATAGCCTGCTGAAGAAAATAAACTGCATCCCATCTTAATTATGAATGTATCTGATAAATAACAATCTCTGGCTAGTCTAGACCAGGCATGCCTTTTGACCCTGCAAGGTTGGAAATAAAAATGAAGCATATTAACATGTTTGTTTGGATGTGAAATTTTTAATGCTTTGCATAATCCTAGTGACTTCAAATCCTATTGAGAAGTCAATACAAATGTATCAAGGAAATAAAAACCTGCAACTGAAATACAGGGATTTAATGAGAATCAGGCACTGCCTGATGAATCTTATAAAAAAAGATAATGGAATCATATTGCAGGACACACTCTGACTTCTTAGTATTCCAGGGCCATAATCATGTAGACACTCAGCTACAGTAGAATAGGAGTGTGCAAAAAGCCCACTTGGACAGGATGCCCACCTAGCTAAGCCACAGCATGGCTGAATTCACTGCAGCTGTTACTGTGGAGCTCAGCATAACCAGGGAAGACTTGCATGTGTAAGAATAAAGAAATGAAGCAAGATAAGTCACTTTTTCACTTTGTAAAGGAGATTAACTAGCAAATAAAAGATAAAAGAGAAGTCATTATTTTGGCATTATATATATATAAGACACAAATCATCCAAAGTCTCTTCTACTTCCTCAATTTTTGTAGGATATAGGTGAAGTTATACAACTACCAAATTTAATGCATTTGAATACATCATTTCTTCAGACATGCTTGTGCTCTGTATATAACTATAATAATTGGCTTTTACCAAGTTTTTATGTATCAGAAAGCTTCCAAAGACTTAGTTTCACTTATCATTATTGAAGAGAACAATACAGCCAGATCAATTTATTACACACCCTCTGGAAAGCCTGCCTGCTCTCTTAGTAGTGAATAGATACTCTACCAAGGTGAAGTTCAATCAAAACTGGAGCCAGGCACAGACACAAGAGGATAAATATTTTGCAGCCTGTCAGCTGAAGATACCACAGGGAAAGAAAAAAGGCTTTAGGTCTGTAGTGACAGAGGGAACAGGGAGGAGCAGTGTGGGAAAAGTATTCTGAGACACTGAAGTGCTGCTGAAGAAAAGCCTGGGGCAGCCTGGACACCAAAACCAGCTCTATTGAGATCAGTATTGAGCTTCTTTTTTGACTCCTTACCAACATCTAAGCAGACTAAAATCACCACTAAATAGTAAAACGAAACATTTTAGCTCTAAATTTGAAGCTGCTGTTGCTATTACATCTTTCTGTAGGCTATTTTAACAAATCCATTTGGTTTGAATTTGTGCTTTTACTTACAAAGTTTAAAAAGTGACTTCTGCTCTGAGTATCAGGAGTTACAGAGACAAGCTTAAAACCAGTTAAAACTAAAGTACTCAATGCTGGAAATTCAGCTCTGTGGTCTTCATTCTGCAACCAGCTTTCAAAGGGCAACAATAAGTCTGTGATGATTTTTATGGTCTGCAAATAATATCTCTGTCAGAACAGTTGCACGACTCCAGTTTAGCTCAGTGTGGGCAAAGTTCTGCATCATCTGTAACATCAAAGCCAGTTCAATGCCAGAGGGCATCTTTTGTGCAAAGAGACTGGGACTATGAGCAGAACACAGTTTTGGGGTGTGTTACTGTCTACTTAACAGGAAATAATAGAGAATGTACACTCATCAGTAGGTTAAACTTACCACTATCCATGGTGATTGCTGTCAAGGCTGCGAACTTGCAAATATCAAGCCTGTAAACAAAAGAGCAAATATCCTGATGAGTTTGCAAATTATAATCAACTTGGACAAGTTTCTCTTGATTCCCAAATACTGGTATGAATAGATCAGTATGGGAAATTCCATGATAAAAATGAACCCCTCTTTTGAGTTGTTACCAGTACTGCATGCAGGCTGATTTCAGTAGTATAGGAACACTATCCAAGAGAAATATAACCTTTGAAATGGTGAATGCTTTAACATTTTTCAAGGCTTTTCAAATTCAGAATATCAAAAATGTTAATATGAAATAAGAAGGTGTCATTTCAAACAAAATGCAACCTGTTTTGCCTAACTGAACTTTAAAGGTATTAAATTCTCCACTGTAATTACTTATACCTTAACTAAGACTTAAATTCACCCTGCAGAGATCATCAAGTCAACTCATTATCTTTAGTCTATAGATCAGATTTTTGAAATCAGAGTGAACATATGGAAATTCATTCGGAGTCAGGTACTGATAAAAACAGGATGCCTGCATAAAGTTCAAGGGCAGAACAAGACCTGCCATTTGGCAAAGGAACTTGCACTACCTGAGAGGATCCCAACCTGCCCTACAAGAACTCACATGTACTTTGTACCTCATCTTGGAAAGAGAACAGACAGGAGATGCTCTCAGTGGAGAAAGTGCCTGAGGCTCATTGCACCCAACAGGCAGAGAGCCAAAGAACTGCATTTGGAGGAAGCAAGAGTAGTGCAGCTCCTTGGAGTCTTTTTTGGTATGGGAAAAGTCACAGAAATAAAAGCTTTCAGCAAAGTAAGAGAAAGAAAGGGGCAAATGCCTAACCAAGTTAGTAGAACACCAGGGAAAAGTCACAGAAATAAAAGCTTTCAGCAAAGTAAGAGAAAGGTGCAACTGCCTAACCAAGTTAGTAGAACACCACGAGGTTAAAGGGTTTTTTATTAATAAATTACCCACTCCTAAGGGTTAGCACCAGCCTTCAGAGGCCAGGTTACACATCAACGTATCACAGCACACAGATGTCCTCACTTTCCATAAATCCAAACCCTCATAAGCAAACCTTCCTGTAAAAAAGCTTGGCCATGGCTGCTGTAATAAACAAAGAGGGAAAGTTAATGTTCCCAGCCTGGCCTGCCCAACACTGTAACTTGTCTTGCAAGAGCAGACTGCAGTACTTGCAGTGCTGAGGTGAATGGTGCTCCATGAGGACATCCCAGCCTACTAACAAAACTGTAGGAGTGGCACTACACGATGAGGGATGAAGGAGCAAATTGATTTTAAAGGAATTTCATCAAACCTCCGTAAAGGCAAATAAATGTGAATAAAGAGCAGACATTAAGGCACTCTGAAATCTCACCACCATAGTTTCTAGCTTGCTGTTACTAAGTATTGTAGGTTGACAGAAGCAGAGGGCCTAATTATTTTTTTCAGAATGTACATAAAACATCTTTCAATAGCCAGAATTTTTCTTAGCAGACTACTCTATGCCAAAATAAATTACCTTTGCTCTTTGCTTCTTGAATAAAAACAAAATTAGTGTCATTTAATGATTAGTCATTGTCACAACCCATAATCTGTGATGAAGAAACCGCTAAACTTATTAAAATAAACAGGTCATGAAAGATTTGGCTAGTGGTCTAACTATTTTCTTCACCTGCGATGTTATTATTTTCTTTTGCCATTTATTACCCACCAGTTTCAGTCAGCTGGTTTAGCATCAGCCCCCCAGATAAACACATATCAGCAGAAGAGGCAGCAGCCAGGAGCGCTCCCTTGCTCTGACAAGCAGGGGAAGCTTTCCTATGCTTCCCCTCTTGATGCTCCCCCACCATTTTTTTATGCAATACATTTCAGTTAGTCTTTAATGTTTCACCCTTTTAAAAAAACTTGAGTGTGGATTTCTACAACATTCAAAATTAAAGGAAAAAAAACCAACAAAAACAAGACAGAACACCAGCATCCACACCCATGAGTCACAACCCCTCTGATGGCTCTGCCTACTTGGAACTGTGCTGGGAAAAAGGGGACTTTGTGCCTCCCCCCTGCTACAGGATGTTTTCCACCAGGAGCAGAGCAAGTCACTGCCTCTGCCTTGGCATCTGGCACTTGGTACTTAGCATATCATGTTCTCTGGGAATGAACACCAGAACACTGACTCACAGGTTGGGAAAATGGGGAAAACGCAGGGAGAAGAAAAAAGAAAAGAGAAGGTAGAATATCTTTTAATTTCTTCAAAGGAAATTTTACTAGGGGCTACTGACAAAATAAAGAGTTGCTGAAGTGACTGCAGAACACAAATTATGTTTCACTTTACCTCCTTCATTACAGAAGGAAACAGTATGCCCTTCTTCAGGAAATATCAAATACATCTTTTCAGTCAGTGGCTGTAGTGCAGAATCCAATCCTTCATCAATCCACATTAGATTTTTACAGCAATTACAAGTATTCAGAGCTCCCTAGCACTAATTCTGTCCATTTTCTGAAAAACGTGTTTTCTGTCTTCTGACTTGCCTCTCAGACTTCATTTCCAAGCTCCCACAAATCACAACTTCACCCTCTATTAACAGTGCCTTCCCCTAAAGGGAAGGAGTTTAATTACACTTTAGTCCTCTACTCTGACACTCTTGGTTCAAACTGACTAAATAGCTCAAAGGTGGCTTGGAAGAAGGGATTGAACAAAGACAAGTACAAAAACCTTTTTTACCGTCATAAGCCAGCTAATAAAGCAGAAGAGGGCTGGTCACACCACTGGAGCATCATGACTTACTACTGACTCATTTATTCCTCTGTCCAACTCTTTACTTAGTTTCCTGCTTTTAAGTCTTCACAAACCTTACTGAAACACCAAAATTTGTTGTTTCATGAATCCCTCTTCTACCCATCTTCTTTAAGGTTATGTGTCACCTTAGATATGTGACAACACAGTGGACAGCTCTGTAGCCCTACACCCACGCTGAGTGTCCAATTCTGAATTAATGGCAGCTGATCCAACCAACACGTGACCTTTCCAGACTGCCTGCTTGTAGAATGCTTAAAAAACAAAACAAAAAACAATGAACCACACACTTCTAGTAGGAATTACAATGACTCAGTGGGAAACACTGAATTCTAAAGCCTGTGAGAGCCCAGGCTATTTACCAGCAGCACCCTGCTCACCACCAACACGCTGCAGCCTCTTACCAAGGAGAAACATCCTGCATGAAAGAGGAATTCATACTGAAATAATAAACCAAGCTATACATTTTTTCCACAACTAACCTACTCTTTTTTTCAATTCTGCAAGCACCCAAATCTTGCATACACTATTTATAAGCATAAAGCATAGAATATTTGTACACATAATTCCCAAGGTGGCAATCATATTCTAGCAGCGACAAGCTCTCAAATTTGGAAGGTAACTAACTTGAGCATTAAAAACTGCTGTCTTAAGACAGTGTTTCTGCAGGATTTTGTTGCATTTATTAGGATAACCATCTCTGGCTGGCAGGCACACACCTCTTCTGAGTACATTTCCTGACTTCAAGCTTAATGGCAGCTCGTGTGCAGCACGTACCATTAAAGGACAGAGGATGTGACTGAGGGCACACAGACTGCCTGCACTGCTCTGCCTCACTGTCATGTGCTCCAGGGATACAGAACATCGAGAACAAAGCGAGTCCTTAAGGGAAGGGAGGAGAAAGGGAAGGGAAAGTAAGGCTAATGTAAAGCAGCTGCAGTATTTTCCCTCACCTAGTTTCTCACCTGCTGTGTTAAAAACAACTTAAAATACTGCAAGGCCCCTGCTCCTCTCCCAGCTGGGGAGGGATGAGCATGACAGCATCCAGGTAGGAAAGGGGGAAATGGTTTTTTTTCCATTCTGCAACAGAACTCTGACGAGTGGTACAGCTGTTAACTTTAGTTTTGTAATCTGTACAATTCATGAAGCCCAAGAGCTACATAGTTTCTTAAAGTTATCAATATTTAGGTTGTTCTGGTGCTTTTTATGAAAGTAGGTCCATTCCAGGGACACTGTTAACTAAAAGATCAGTAGACATTCAGTCTAAAAAGAAACTCTTGTTCTAGCTCCTCAGTCCCAAACCAGCTGCAATGCAACACCTGGAACACTCCTGGGGGATGTTTGTTTAGAAGAAATATTAAAACATTATCAATCTGACTTCCTGTGTAGCTATTTAATTATCTGACAGCCATTTATACAGAATGTATCATGTGCCTACCTAAAAATCCCACTGGTACCACGTCTTTTACAAGCTTGGAAAGAGTACAATTTCATTTACAGTTATCTACTTCCAAAGAGCATTCTCCCCAGGAAAAGTGTACCAAAGAATTTACATTGATTCAAATACTGGAAAAATAGATTGATTTTTCTCTGAACAGGAATTCCACAGGATATGGGAGAACCTTTATTTAAGTTGTTTGCTTGCAAAAGCATGGCTTTCCTGGGAATTTGGTGGGAATAGAGAGGGAGGAAACACTTTGGAAACTACTCTGTCAGAAGAGGATGCAAAAGATTTATCCCATCTCAGACTACATGGGACAAGAGTAAAACAGAGCTCTGAAAAACCTTCTGCTTTGCATACGCAATTTGATCACAGCATTATAAAACATCATCATTAATTTAAGCACCCAAAACCACAGACCAGATCACAGAGAGCAACCTGTACTTAGCAGAGTGCCACTGGACCCCAGTGAAACATCAGTGCTCACAGAACGAGCATGCACAGGGCACAACAGCACCCTGTGAGCAGGGAGAAGGAAGCTCCTCAGGACTGCAGCTGGACAGGACTGAGTCCAAGCTTCTGCCTCAACTTCATTACCCCTTCTTCTCTCAGTGCCTTTTGTTCTGTTTAAGCTGTGGCAATAGTCTGGCTGGCTATTTTCTGGATACTTCCAGAGGTTCAAAGGGAGAATTGCTATAAGCTAAGCTATCTCTTCCTTCCCCTCCCTTTAAAAACTAAAGAACATTGTCCTGATACATCTTGGCAAGCAGGTCATTTGGCAGGAGAAGTAACAAAA